AATGTATGCAGTACATGGATAATTGTGCGTGCATCTATTAATCATTTAGAGTCTAATATCATCCCATAAAATCTAACCTACGTCCCTATCTGCTTTTTTCTTTAATCCTGTAATGAAAGCGAGTGGTGCAGTGCCTGTGAGTGCTGTGGAGTTTTGTAACAGTACTGTGGTGTAGCAGTGGGCGCTGTTTTCAGACACCCACACAAACTGCACTGCTGCTCCCATCACAGCACCGATCCCTCCCTCCCACTGAGAGATGAGGCTTTCACACAATCCACCTGCACACATGCACATAGCGGCCAAAATGTACTTTTTGCTACAACTGCCAATGGTGGCTGAATATCTCTTATTGGCCATGAAGCTGTATTTGGCATTTTTGTTACAATATTTTACATATTTTTTATTTTATATATTTTGTTCAATTGAATAGATGTGTCAGTCTCTTAATGAAAGTCTCTCAATGAAAGTACACCTATGATATTGTTCCTCGTACAGTGTTTTTGATGGTTTAATCCAGGAATACTGTACATACAGTAAATTGCACTCCAAAATGCAAAGTGGAATTATGGACAATATCAGCATGAATCCTTTTCAGACATAAATGCATTAACCTGCAATTACCAGTGAAGATGAGCAATAATGATGTTCTCTTTTGATTAGATAATAAAGGACATGCACAACCGTTCAAAAGTTTTTTTTTTAATTAATACTTTTATTCAGCAAGGACACATTAAATTGATCAAAAGTGACAGTAAAGACATTTATTGTATAATGTTGCAAAATATTTATATTTCAAATAAATGCTGTTCTTTTAATCAAAGAATCCTGAAAAAAATTATCACGGCTTCCTCAAAAATACTAAGCAGCGCAACTGTTTTCAACACTGATAATAAGAAATGTTTCTTGAGTGAAATCAGCATATTATAATGATTTCTGAACGATCATGTGACACTGAAGACAGGACTAATGGCTACTGAAAATTCAGCTTTACCATCAAAGGAATAAATTACATTTGAACTAGAATTATAAAATAGAAAATAATTGAATTAAAATTGAATTTAACAGTTGTTTTAAGTTGTAATAATATTTCACAATATTACTAGTTTTCTGTATTTTTGATCAAATAAGGTTTTTTATATTTTGTATTGATAGTTTTCTGTATTAATCAATGAAACATAATTCAGAAACATAAAAAATCCCAACCCAAAACTTTTCAGTAGTGTATATGCACATCACAATCAGACATGCTTTTTGGTAGCTGTGATGCCTGATAACTGGATTAAATTTAACCCAGGTTTCTTAAATATTATATTTGTATCAGTCATCGCAAAACAAAAAGGATTTATTCTGAGAATGAACAAAAACCTTACTACGGCATTATAGATTAATTTAGAATTTCTTTAGTAGAATGTTTATGTGATTTTAAGTTGTGTATGTCAAATTGTCCTTTTTACAATTTGAATTAAACTATGTATTATGATGCTGTTGTGTTACACACACATCTACAGTCCCAACCACATCTTAGAGATGATCTGGTCCTCTGTAACTACCAGGTTAAATCATCTGCCTTTTTCCCCTTTACTGGTCTCGGCCTCCCTCCAGCCTTCCCCACCATGGTGGACAACCACGTCGGGCACAACTCCAGCATGGCCTACGTGGGAGGCATGGAGCCTAAACCAGTGTACCCACCACCCCAGGTCACCCCCTCGAGGTACTCCCCAGTCCCGCGCCACATGCTGGGGGAGGAGGACTTCACCAGGTCAGAGTCATAGATTTACTCATCTATTCACTCACAATCGCTCACTTCTTCACTCCAGGGTTCCCACGGCCATGGAAAATCTGCAAATATCAAGGAATTTTTTAACATTTCCAGGCCTGGAAAAGTCATAAAAAAGGAAATGTTCACAGCTAATACTGTTTCTTTAATACCTCCAAAATATTTAATCAGCTAAAAATTGTGAGTGCAAAATCTGTAATTTTATTAATAAAAACCGTAAACCAAATATTGAAGAAAAATGACTGGAAAAGTCATAGAAATGTATTGGTCAAAAAGTGTGGGAACCCTGTCACTCACTCGAATGTCACTTTTCAGATGCACTCATGCACAAATGACAAAAAAACAACACTTGCATGTCCATATATATTTGATTAGAAAAGTACATTGTTTTCCCACAACCTGTGCTACAGTTCTTCAGCTTTAGTTGTTTAATTTCTTTTTGGCAATACTGTTCACATTTTATGATGTAACTGGGCAAAGATAGAACAAATAACAATTATTTGAAGTAGGTGTCGAGTGTGGGCTGAAGAACGTCTACGAGGTGTGTAATGCCTCTCTGTGGTGGTTTGTTTGTGAACACTGCTTTAACGAAACATGACTGGGTGTATAAATTCTCTAAAACGAATCCCAACACTGCAAACAAACACTCATGTTTGTGGATATAAGAGATGCTTCTGGCATGGGGTCAAATGTTTTGAAGTCACGGCCACTGTTGCTGAACATGAGATGGGTTTCACCTCTCCGAGCATGGACTCCCTGGACCTGTGAGTCAGCCCGGGCCCCTCCAGCTGAATGCATCCTCACTTCTGCATGTGCGTGTTTGTCTCCGTCTGTGTGCATGTGTGTGCCATACGTGTCTTCACACAGTATGTCTCTGTGTCTGCTGTCTCTGTGTGCCTGAAAGCGCCCCGTTTACTATGTGATTTCTGTACCCCCAATAGGGCCGAGCCCATTTACAGTGCCATCCACAAACCTCATGGGGACACAAGCCCTCCCTCCCCCCATCTGTGCAGCAGGGGGTCTGGGGAGGTGGGCTGCAGCCCCACCCCGCCTGCTCTGTGTCAAAGCCTGGTCCCGTACACCGGCAGGTACTAACCACTGCTTCTCGTGCTGCCTGGCTTAGCTTAGCACAGCCTAGTTAACCTGACAGTTATTCCCCCGCACGGCCACCCTCCTTCCCCCTACCTCAGCGCAACCTGCAGCGTGACACATGTAAGGCCTTGAGGCGAAATGACTCCCTGCCCCGAGCTGCGTACACCTTTACAGCGTGAAGAAGATGGGGAACATTGTGGTATTAGAATCCTTAAAGCCTGTTCACACCAACATGAATGTTTGGCACAAAAATTTGGTCCGATTTTCATATGCCATTTGTCTGTTCAGATCAATGCGTAAAAGATGGCAGATGGGCTAAATGAAAATTCAGATTCACTTTCTAACAGTAGGTGGCACACTTAGAAAAGCAGAACTACCCTGGTTACCTTGGGACACAAAGCCCTATGTAACTGTACATGGATTCATTAGCCAGGTTTCCATCCAAGGATTTTTTACGAAAAAATATTTAGCGCTTCAAAATTTTTACCGATATAGCTGATGGAAATGCCATTTATCGATACAATGTCTCATGTGTCGACATTATCTTTTTCCGTTTAACTTTAGCGCATAAATTCTATATCAATACTTCAAATGTCGCAAAAAAATGTTTGGAAACACTTTTTGTCGAGAAAAGGGGCTTTAACGCAAATAAATACTTTAACGCAGTTTGTGGATACAGAGACAGAGCAACAACACCCAGACTCTGTTTTAATCATTCTCGGGGACTTTAATAAAGCAAATCTTTCCCGTGAACTGCCAAAATACAGACAGCATGTTACATGTCCCACCAGAGACAGTAATATACTGGACCATTGTTACTCCACAATAAAGGATGCATATCGCTCCGTCCCCAGAGCAGCTGGAGGACTCTCTGACCACTGCCTGGTTCATCTTATACCGACTTATACAGGCATAAACTTAAACCTGCTAAACCTGTAGTAAAGTCTGTAAAGAGATGGACCAACGAAACAGAGCGGGCTTTACAAGCCTGTTTCGACTGCACTGATTGGAGTGTTTTTGAAGCAGCCACCAACGATCTGGACGAGCTCATGGGATCTGTAACATCATATATCAGTTTCTTTGGTACCGAAATTGGTACCGAGAACCGTGGATTTTCACTGGTATTGGTACCGAATACTGAAATTTTGGTACCGTGACAACACTACTTGGCAATAAAGCTCTCTTTCTGATTCTGAAATGTGGTGTCACATGGCAGAATTAGCCTATAGTGTTCATGGTGTTGCTCACGTTAAAGCACCCTTTCCCTGTAGTTCAAAAGCACAGTAAATCATATTCATATTATTAAATTGCATCTAAAATTATTTTATATTTGGTAAGAAAAAGACAAGTTACCTCTCAAACATACATATGTTCATTTGCTGTTCCTATAGTATCCTACGTCTAAGTCTACGTTTTTACACTGCACTGCTCAGTTTAAATAGCCTGTAGTCCGTGCCGTTCAGCGTGACCACCATACCCCCGTGATATTACTATGCCAAGCACATTTTGTTTTACGTGGATATTGGAACGCGAAGTACAAAATTTTAAATTAATTAGTTTTGGCTTGTTAGTAGCTTCTTATATTTTTTTATTCTTGTTTTGTTCTGAGTTCTGTTCTACCGTTAAATGTAAGTATTTGTTGTGGAGTGAGGGGAACTAAAATAGCATGATTTTCAATGTTTGGCTGACTATAGTAATTACTATAGTTAGTAATGCTTAACTGCGCGAGTGAGGCGCCGTCACGATCACTTGTTTTTTTTTTATTCCTTTTAAAAGTGGAAACAACTTAGGCCTACACCGTTTCTACACCGGATGCGAGCGGCGCGGCAACTGTCGCATCCAGTGTAGACACGGTGTTACTATACTCCTTCATTTGTGGTCATATGAGAGTAAGACATTATTCAAAACTATTCTAAATATTCCTATATTTGTGTACATTCACAATAAAAACAAAACATTGTGCTTTTGTAAAATAAAGGAAACAAACAGAATGCCGCATTCTCAAGAGCGCATCACAAAAATGTGCCGAAATTTTGCATTTAGGCTGCTAATTGTTGCAGTTTTTTTTATTTCGTTTTGTTAATTTATTATTTAGAAAAATATATTTCGCATATAGGCCTATTTATTTATTTTATATAGCCTATAGCTTTATAATGTTTTTCTCCATTCGCAGAAGCGCTGCAGGTGCGTGACATGACCATATGAATCCTCACGTTCTGTCGTTTATGCTGCTTTTTGCGTGTATAAAATTAATCCCAGGAAAACAAATGTAGGTATTTTTATTGGGTCACAGCCATGTATTCATTCAAATTTCATTTAATTGTAATTTAACATAATGTTGTCGGTTAATAATGGCTTAACGACCGTCGGTTGTTGGTTAGGAGAAATAAAATAACCGAAATGAACATTTCCTCTAAAAGTTAATCAGAAAAATAATGATAGGCTAATACAACTGCTCCTATTTATGAATAATGCTTGATGATCAAGTATCTAAATAGTCTATAACAAAGTACAAAAAAAACTCATGACACTTGTTAAAAACTATTTTATGCCTATACAATTTAATAATAGGATATGTAATAAAGTTTCGTTTCAAATGGATGAAGAACAGGCTACTAGCCTGTATAATTTACGCAATAGGTGAAATTATGTATGGAAACAGCTCAAGGGCAATATTTATTTTGCGATACACCAAAACTTATGCAACAATTGTTTTTTTTAGGGATGACGTCATCACGCACAGCATTTTACACGCACAGCAAGGTTTTTTTTACGCATATTCTCTTTATCAATAACAAAACAGAGCAAAAACTGGATAGAAACTTGGCTATTGATTCACTCACGGTCACTCACTTCTTCAGTCCTTGAAAAAACCTGGAAATATCGGGATTTTTTTTATTTTTATTTTTTACATACTTGTAAAAATCATACAAAAGGAAATTTCTACAGCAAATATAATCTTTTTTTTAATACATCGGCTCTAAAATACCAGCTAGAAATTATGAGTGCAATCTATAAAATAATCAGCATTTCCTGGAAAACAACTGGAAAAGTAATAGATTGATGGTCAAAAAGTGTGGAAACCCTTTCACTCTTTCAGATGTAACTTTTCAAATGCACTCATTCACAAATTACAATTGGATGGCCAGTTTTGTTCGCTGTGAGATGGAAACGAGATTAGAACACCTTTCTGTAAAGAAAATCTGTCACATTGATGGCATGCACATGTTCGTGGTGGTCTGAACAGACACATTAACATTCATTCAATTTAAAATGTTTATCGCACCAAATTTTCACACCGAATATTTGTCTGGGTGTAAACAGACCTTTAGGCATCTTTAGAGTCAATAGAGTCACAAATGAATGTGGGCGTTATACTTTCTATCCTGGTCTAACCATGTCTGTCATATTTTCAGTGTGCAAATTATTCAGGAGTTTTTTTTTTTGGTCATTATATCTGTCCAATGTTGTATATACCCCATTGACTTTTAAAATATCTTAGAAAGTCTTACTTGTGAGTACATGATGGCAGAATTTTCTTTTTTTTTGGCAGAACTATCCCTTTAATCTCGCACAACCTACAGCAAATAGTCTTTTGCTGCTCTTACTATAACATCTGAAACATTTTAATCAAAAGATTAAATGTTTTATGTTGATGTATCTTAAAGTGATAAACAATGCCACTAATTATGTTGAGGTATCATCCCATACTCATCCCAAAGCACTCAAGTAGCCTACTTTTTCTATCTCCTCAGGAAAACGAAACTTTTTTGCGTATTCTGACTAACTTGTGAACTTTTTTGTTTGTTTTTTGGTTGTTTAAACTGCTGTTAAAATATCTTTAAGAAGCCTGCAGGCTTTTTGTTCTGACTTAATTTGAAAAAACAATTGGGGTGTTGAACACCAATCAAAAATCCCCCCAGTTCGTACCCTGCCCATTTTGTTTATAATCTCAGATAGTATGTGAGTTTCAGCCATCCTCGTTTACCAGCCCATATAATGTCCTGGTGTTTTGTGTGTGCTCTCTGAAGCAGTCTTAGTCTGAGTGATGTACTGTATCTTTACGTACCACTGTGTCAGTACTTGTTGTTTAATCCTTGCATACATACTGTTCTGTAGTACAGGCTCTACAATATACCAGGCTAATCAATCAATTTATTTTTTCAACAACGCTCACCCAACATATTAACATTTAGCACATATCTCGTCAAAAGCTCACTTGTCGATACCTCAGATCATGCCCTTTATTTAAGAGTGTGTGCTATTAACGGAAGGACCAACAATTTTGGGCTGGTAGAATCCATAGGCTATCATTGAAGGACTGGAGCCATATAGAGACCATCAAATACACTGTGCTTTTTGACTCAAGAGATCACTAGCAGCACCCTAGAACAACTTAGAACAACAATCAACACAATATGTAGGATTCTTGTTTATATGCGGAGTCATTCTTCCACAAGGTGCCCACAAGCATATGTGTGTGATCATGTATGTATATAACAATACTGTACTCCCACCTTTTGACGTCCTGCACGTGTATGTTTGTATGCTCATCAGTGTGTATAGTAGCATTGCCTTAGGTGTGACAAAGACTGGAGTGGTCACAAAAGATGTATTATTCTCCAAACATATAAATACACACTCATGGAACCTTCCAACACAGGAATGTTTGGCTTCTGTTGCAGTTATGTAAATATAAACAGTAGGGCCTGCTCTTACCATAAATGTATTGGGAAGTGAGAGGCTGATTCTGCAGTCTGACTACAAATGAGTAGTGGCACACATTCCTGAAGCTGTCATGATTCATTTGAATGGGGAAAGCAGGCCACAAACACACACACACACATACACAGGGTGCTCTGCCAATGCCCATCACACACAGATACACTTAGACAGTCTGTCATAATGTGCTGACATGAACACACACTCCCTTTGACATGCAGCCCAAACACACACACACACACACACACATACATACAGTATGAAGCACAATATT